CTGAACAGTCTTGTCCCATTCTACGGTTGGTGTTGTGGTATGTTCTACGTTAATCTGAAACAAAAAAACGTGTTAAAAGTACGACGAAACACGAATATTCGACCAAACCAAATAATTTTAGAAATTTGGCATATTACAAAAGCGTTTATTTAGTTAGTAAAATCCAAAAAATTAAACAGACTACGGAGAACCTCGATTCTGTGTCTGCATTTTCAGACTTTGTGATTATTGAGATGCAAGCATCTAACAGACTGGGGACACCAATTCTAACAGATTGACGTTAATACAACTCACTCCTCCTTAGTGGGGTTGTGATTACTCTAAGATGTGGATAGCCGGAAAACTAAACCCAACGAGTTTGTCGGTGGTAACCACTCTTCTGGTAGCTCACTATGTTTATTAGCTTCTGGTCAACTTACCATGGTCAGGTGAACCATGTTGTATTCCGCTTTAAGACGAGGAACTTTAAAGGGTCCTTCATATACAGTTTTGAGGGGTGGTTGTATGCTTCAGTATGTCCAGTGTTAACTTGCCCAGCGTTGCGAATGGCGAGTAACACAATTAGAAGAGCGCTACGCACGCTATGATACGTTTGCAAGTGTGTCTTACGGCCATCTGGAGAAGAATACTAAAGGTTGCCATGTGTTGTTTATTCATTGTTGTAAGACTCCTAAGCTTTTCTAATCGGGTGCGCCTACTGCGATACTAATGGGGGCATTGATGTTCTGGTGTGCGAGCATAGTTTTCCTGGTGATAATTTCACTAACTGGGGAGAATGCTCTCCTCGTACTGCCGTCCATATTGGTGAGTCTCGCATTTCCATGGAGTTGTTCTGTCGCGGGGATCATGAGAGACGCGCGATTCGGCATGAACCGCCGATAAACGTTAGCCGGACCGTTGAACGTACGCAATTGAATGGTAGTGCTGGGCAGTCAAGAGCGGCCGCCAATTTACTTTTCAGAAGGCGAATACTTTGGGAATCAATAATGTGTCCGAGAAAATCTAGGGATTAGGTTCCATTTTGAGATTCTTCAGTGTTTGTAGAGTTACAGTATTTTGGAGTTGTTTAAAACAAGGCCCACATGCTGGAGATAAGAGTTTCCGTCCGGATTTGCTATCAAGAGGCTATTTGCCCAAGTTTGTATTAAGTTGAAACTCCCAAGGGCGTAATCGCTGAATCTTTGAAAATTATGTGCAGCATTTTGTAAACCAAAAGGGCTGCACCAAGATACGTGGAGTTCGAAAAAAGTAGTGATAGTGGTTTTAAAAAAGGTGTCAGCAACCATAGGAATTAGGTTTCATGCTTTGAACAGATCGATTTTGAAAAAACAGTTATGCTTTTTAAAGTGGCTGTCAAGTAGTCGATGTGCGGCAGACGGTAAATATCAGGAAAGATTTTTGCATCCAGTCGCCAAGAATCCCCAGTTGGACATAGTAATAATAATATATATTTCTGCAAGGGCAAGTACACGCCATTTTTACAGGCATGATCTACACATTACAACATTTATTGGTTCACAGTATGCATCCCAAGCAGGGTTGTTAAATAAATATGATCTATAAAAGTGAATATCAGTTCGTTCGTTCAGATATACGGAGTAGTCTTCAAAATATTCTCCAAAGTGGCATCTCGTCCACGTTGCACACCAGGTCCAATCTCGGCATAATTGCGTTAGGATTTTGGTTGTGCTAAGTACTTATGTGATGCAACTTTTTAGGTTTATAGTTGTAATGAAGTAGACTTGTAGAGCGCTTAGTGTGAACTATGAATTTGGGGAAGCGCGTACGTCGAGTTTGTTTCAGATGTCAGAAGTTCCATATATGTGGTCTCGGAGAAGGATTCTGACAAAAAATAAGATGGGGGAGCGGCAAGGATCTTGGATATGAACGATAAACAGTACTTAACATTTCGTAATGGAACAGAGAGAGGTATGATAAATTATTGGATTAAATTCATTCTAGCTCTTGTAGGTAGAGTAGGATGTGATCAGAGGCTCCAAATGAGAGAACGCATTAATAAAAAACACTGAGTTGTGATATTTACCAAGGTAGAGTAAGTTCAAATGAAGAAAGGGAAGTCAGGGTTGGAATATGGGGGGCTGTTTATTAGAACAGAAAGTGGATATAGGGAGTGATGTGTTAAGAATACCAATAACTATGCCTTTTATTGTCTGACTTTTTTCATCCGTAGTCTGTCACATAGTCATAATGTAAAAGTCCGAGATAGCATGTTTAGGTTCTCTGAGTAGAATAGCTAATCCAGCATAAAATTGGAAACATGAGTCTGAGTGGTCAGCGTAGGCGAACAACCCCAATACCACAGACTGATTGACTTGCCCTCAAACATAGAGAGCCTGATACGAACAACAGTCATTGCTGTCGTTTCTAGGAATTATATACAGTGAAGATGCCAATGGGCTTTTTCACTTACCGGATAATATCCAAGTTCATCATTCACCATAATTCGTTTTCGGCGGACCTTAGCTTTTCGGGAGCTGGTCGTCAAGATTTCGAAAATACAAGTGGTCTTGTAGTCGTGATGTGGTTTTTGACATTTGCCGGTTACACACATTAACTTCGGCCGAATTTGGTAAAGTTCATTGCACCTGTCGAGCATCCGTTGATAGCATGGGTCGATTATGTGGTTAACAGTGACAGGGGATGATCTGTAGTGGTATTGGTTCCCAACCGCACGATCTATGAAGCCGAGCATATAGTTGCAGAGGAGATTTACATTTGAAACTTAACACTTAGAGGCCAGGATTGGCGAACACGGGAGCAGTTATTTGATACGGCATGGCTCAGACTTGGAGGTGCAATCATTCTGTGTAACTCATACCCTTCCGTACTCAATTATTATTTTATTCAGAGGTGATAGAATCCATATTCCGATTGTCATAATAAGACGACTTAGTGTAGGCAATTATGTAACTTCCGCGTAAGGTCTTATAGATTAGGAAGTCACATCATGATCAGTCTACAGTTTAAAGACCAGGTCTCTTATCATAGTAATAGAGATAAGTGTGCCTGTACCGAATTACACCAGCATTCCGAAAACCTACAACATGAAAATGAGGTTCTACTAACCTCCGTTCGTCCGGGTCGATGAGAAGATTGTGGTGCGGGATCGGATCTACACCAATGACCAAAAAGAAATATCAGGAAACGCGGAAACCTAGTGAAAGAGTTTGCGTAAACTCACATTAAGACAAACATATTACCTACCGTATTTAGCGATGTTGGACAGCTGTGTCTTCATGCTACGGTTATCGCTAACGCGTGCCGACGAGGAAGTTTCTCGGGAGGTTTCTCGTGACTGACGGTTTGGAAATTGAAAAACCCAAGGGGCTCATGCAGGTTCCAAAAGACTTAGAATGGTTTCAGTGGTATAAATACTAGTCAGAATTACCTGTCTCTCGTGGTTTAGAGACAGACCTTTTCTATGATGGATTACCTAGCACAGTTTGTGAACGTTTGTGGCTATGACGAATACTAGGATTACGAGTGAAAGTATGACAGAATTGTGTAATGTCATTTCTTGGAATTTGAGGCTGTGTTGCCTTCACTACTGCTAGGAATTGTGCAAGCGGGTCTGTCATACTGTGCTTGTAGATGTTAGCTTTTGTGTAGCAGAATCAGGCTTCGATATTGTTGATTCAGAATGGCACGAGTTGATGTGTGAGAGGCCGAAGAGTCTTAATCCAAGATAGCTTAAGTGTCTGTTCCGTCGTGATCAATATATGATATTCAAATAGGCGAAAAAATATCCGGGAACTTGAAAAGAATATCACAGTATGTAAAAATCAAAATCAAAACTTAATATCTTGTGTTCCAACGAGGAACGGATTTGTAGTGGTATTGAGTGCTAAGCACACAATCCTCAAAACTGAACATGAAATAACTGGAAAAATAGATATTCAACATTTACCGTGGAGAGAAGACCAGCCTAAGTGTGTTCTCGATCATATTTTGGTGATTGTTACGATACGACGAATCAGTGTAGGCAGTGATGTGACTTCCACATTAGATCTTATGGATCAGCCAACTTTACAATTTTAGGATTAGGTCTATTGTTAGAGCTGTACTAATGACGAAACGGACCATAATTATTTAGATCCACAGTTTATTGTTTGATGTATCAAGTTACGTCGAGCGTTTGGTCTAAGCTGGCTACTAGTTGCAAAGGATGCCCAGCGCTGCGTACCTACTTGTTTTTTGTGCTGATACGTGACGGGTTGCTTTCAGCTACGGTTTGTCAAATTAAACTAATGAGGTCAGAAGCTATGTCAAAGACTTTCAGAACCAATTATTTTGGTGACTTGTAGATCACCAATTTGCATGATCTATGCTGAAAGGTTGGGGCCCAGGCGAGTTAGACGGGAAAGGTGTGACAAACCAGCTTACCTCAAAGTCTACCTCGCGATCAGCATCTAATTTGGACTACCTCTTCAACGTATCAAAGTACTATGGCTGCTTTGAAGTCCGTACAACTCAGAGAACTCAAAGAGGAATTACAGAGTAGCTAGTGAGACCACCACTGCATGGACTAGTCTACGGCATACGACTAGCTGATGTGTGTTGGTTATCCATGACTTTTACAGGGATCGACGATCTGTTTGATATTCAGTGACCCAACTGCTGGATGATGACTAGGGCTCAGTGACATTTCACTGGCCCTACAGATTTATTTACCTCTATAAAACCCTAGTGTTTGAGTTGATCTTTCCGTGCGACAGCGGCAGACTTAGCATATTCTCTTAACTTTCAGAGAGTGGCCTTTGTATGAATAATCAAGCTGAATGATTGATGCTGTCACACTTTATTGTTGCAACGAAATAAACTATTTGATACAGATACACAAAGCTTCACTCTTGTCCAGTCTTGAAACTATGATAACCGGTTGCTACCTAACTGAGCTTGTTTTCAGGCAAGTTCCAATAGATTTTACATCACGTATAGAAAGTTTGCTTATCTTTGTTTATATCGTCCTAACGTTCCAGAGGAGACAAAGGTCACTGGTGGCAATACAAATTTCAAAGATATCGTGATGTTCGAGGCTCGGCTTACGCAGGCTGATGTATGGAAGAAGGTCATTGATGCAATAAAAGACCTCGTACAAGAAGCAACTCTTGATTGTACAGAAAATGGTATCAGTTTACAAGCTATGGATAATGCCCATGTGAGCTTGGTGTCTTTGCTTCTGCGGAGTGATGGCTTTGAGACATACAGATGTGATAGGAATCTTTCATTAGGCCTGAACATCACAAGGTATTTGTATACATAATACACATTAGTCCCAGTGCGTCTAAAATTCTACGATGTGCTAGTGGGAACGATGCAATTACTCTTAAGGCTGGAGATAAAGCGGATACACTGACATTTGTTTTTGAGTCGAAATGTAAGTTTCTCACTGTCATTTAATGTTTTAAGCCCAAGATCGGTCATCGGAATTTGAGATCAAATTAATGGATTTAGATGTTGACCACCTGGGTATTCCCGTAAGTTGTTTTGCTCAAACAATATTTTCCCCAGGATACTGATTATAAGTGCATCATACGAATGCCTTCTGCACAGTTACAAAGGATATGTCGAGACCTAAGCCAAATAGGAGATTCCGTCGTAATATCGGTTGCTAAAGATGGTGTTTCGTTCAGCTCAAACGGTGATTTAGGTACTGGAAATGTCAAGCTTTGTCAGTCCGCTAACGCTGACAAGCCAGAGGAGTCTGTTTCAATAGAAATGCACGAGCCTGTTTGCATGACTTATTCCTTGCACTATTTCAACATATTCACTAAAGCCGCTCCACTCTCTAGCCAAGTTGTATTATCTCTGACTGAGAACGTCCCTGCAGGTAATTTCACATTTAACTTAACTTATCTCGTAGTTGTGGAGTTTGAAATTGAAGACCTAGGTTATATCCGGTATTATTTAGCACCGAAAATTGAAGATGATGCCGATTAGGATAACTAAAGAAAACTCAACAGACTATTTTTCTACTTACTGTGCATCACAATAAATGTAAGATTTCTTAAACATGATCCTGTGTATTTTGGATTTGTTCCATGCCATCTCAAGAAGTAGTATTCAGCACCCGTACTTTGTATTGTAGCTCTCACTGTTTTGTAAATCTCGCTTGACATTTTCACCAATTTATATTACTTCAAACCTTGTATTCTCTGTCGAATCTTTGCTAATACCATTAATGTTACTACCTTTACTACTCTAGGATTTGATTTGACGATTTCGTTTCACTGTGTCAATGGGGCATGACAATTTGAACGTAAATAAACACGTTCCAGGTTCTACGTTGCATTTGACCGACTAATTATGATCTTACTATTGTCTAGCCATAAATATTTTATAAGTTCTCGCATGTGCTTGCTGGTGTTATGTTCTCACAGATTCTCAGTGACTTGTTTCTATTAAAATACGTGTACTTGTAGGTAGTAACTACAACTCGCGTGTTTGTAAATGGTCTACTTGATGTTTATAAACTAAGCTATTGGTAGCTCAGACATTAAATCCTATCGTTCATTTCCTTTGTAGCTGTCTTCTCAGATTTAATTCTTAACTATTAAGTCACATAATTGTTTATTTTGTGGTCGCCGGATCTTCATTATATCCGTCTGTCCACTGAAGGCTTAACATTAAGAATGCGCGATAAAGCTCTTCCGTCGTTGTTAACCTACATTTGGCTCTTAAAGTTACTGGAAGCTTGTTGCTCATTGCAAGTAACTAATAAATTCATTTTGATGATGGCGTAAACTAACACATGGAGGGACACAGTGTTCGTTTGTTCCACGGACAACATAGTGTACCCACTAGTATTTTACCACATATGCCTTGGAAATATTGCTCGCATCTGCTGGGATCACCGTGTAAGTAATAGTGAGGTTAGACAGACAGGGTATTAAGGAATGGTGGTAAATCAGTTGATGAGGTTGTGAATCTTCATCGACTGAGATGGTTGGGCCACGTGTTACGTATGCCCGAACACCGATTACCACGACGTGCAATGCCAACCGGTGTTGGAGATGGTTGGAAGAAAGTTAGGGGATGCCAAACCAAAACGTGGCATCAGTGCTTGAAGTCACTAACTTCTGATCTGAGTTATGTTGGTAGATGCAGACTACTTGTTTGGGGTCTGCGTGACTATCGTAAACAATGGTTGGAGACTCTTGATGACATGGATCAGGATCGATCACAATGGCGTAGGTGTATACACTGTCTCCCCTTGAACTAAAAGATTGAAATCGCTTCATATCTTTCTTTCTACGAACTAATTCTTCCTGTACTATATCCTTATATGCAATTTTTCTTTTATATATCACCACCTCTGAATTAACTAGTTTTATGAATCCGGTGTCCATCTTGTTGTGTTAATGAGGCATGGCAACTTGGACCGATGCATATATGTGCCTAGTCCTACGTTGTAGCTGACTGACTGACTAGTGTACCCACCGAAGGAAACAGGATTGTGTCTAGGGAGATTAAATGTTAGTAGTTTGCATTTACTAATATTTGGTAGTAACTAACTCCTGTTACCTAGTAGACTATCTTTAGGTGTGGTATTTACCTGGATTTTTATTTATCTTCACTGTCTTTTATATTTAGGTTTGCTCTGTTTTCGTAGTTATTGCCTGAATAAAAAAGTCAGTCGGCACGTTGTTGTGACGTGGTTCTGCTTGGATTATTCACGTATTAGGATAGGGACATCAATGCAATAGTTATTAAAAATGTCTCAGTGAAATTGAACAAGGGAAGTTAAAATAATCAGAATAAATGGAACGAAATCGCAGTTATTGATAGTTACTGCTCCACCAAAACCAATCAGCAGATCTTATGCTCTTTCGGAAAGTAAATATTGTTTATGGAAAGTTAGATAACTACATCAAGGTCGATGAGGAATTCTTTTATGAATCATGTCTAATAACTTAGGACAACCTCTTGAACTTTGCCTACAGAGTGATGATAAACTAGCGAACTTCAGTCCAATGGACCTGGTATTGTACGACTGTCATAAATTAGATATAAAAGCTTCCGAGACGATAGTTAGGCTAACATATACAGGATGATGCAATGTATGTTGTGCCTTATCACACATATTGTAATGATACTCAGATTTAATCTATGCGAAAATACGAATTTGGTGTTTTTTCATTATAAATAGTAATACCCGATAACTACAGTAATCCTAACATTTCATACTGGTTTGGCAAATATTCTGTTCTTTGTTATAGGTTTGCTAATCCAGACGTGCGTTTTAGGTCTACTGTTATATCAGTATTCCAGACTTATACTGTTAATTTATTTCATCGAAGATATTTCCATCTGGTCCACACAGGTTTGTTTACATCCCCTTAAGCCTCGGATACACACTGGTGGGATTTTGATCTTGAACCTCCTCTACGTTATTTTTCCTCAATAACTGATATTAACAAAAAACAAATCACGGCTAACCTATGAAAAGTTGTCTGCAGGTGTATTTTTGAGCTTACAGGATCGAATGTTGCGTTGAATGGAGCAATCAGTCATAGTAATCAAAGCCTACATTCTGGGTTATCTGGATATGTTAAACAAATCGTAAACACATTATTCGAGTATGAGGTTCAGGTCAAGTTAGTTTAAACATGTACTGTTCATATTCTCGATGTACTGTACTTGCTGTTGTAGGGGTGGGTCAAAAAACCAAACAACCAAACCGGAACAGTATCAATTTAGGATTTCTAGCTATTTGTTTGACCTGTTTGATTGGTATCTTCGAGATCATCTGTGCTTATGTCTGAAAATTAGTATGACTGGGAATCAGTCTCTAGCCCAACGGGGGTAAGTAGTTCATTTCTAGTTTGTCTACCTATACTGGGTCTCAGCTTATCATTTGTCTATTTTGCTCTTATCTTCCCTATTGGTCTTCACCATGTCTCAACTAGAATCAGCAGACATTTGTTGCATTTTTCCTATCACGGAGACCAGATGAATAGTCTTCACATTTATGGCTATATTTATTATTTATTTCAACACATAGATATTGGTACAAAGAGGCACCAAATACACATGCCACACAAATCTCATTCGATATGTGTGAGGGCTGTGATACTGCCCGGGTGCCCAAACCGAAGCAGGATTTATTGCTAAATAAGATATCTAGCTAAACTCTAAACACCACGTGGCAGATATCTCAATTACAATGATCGGTTTTGTAATTGATGGACATAAATCATCTAGGCATCTGGTAACAACTGCGGCTAATTGCAAAAATCTTCACTGTGTTTAATTAAATTGCGAGATCTGGTTTATTATGCATCGTGTCAACCTATGAAAAGGGGTGATCTACACTGAAGTGAGTAGTTTATTTTACCAACAGTATATAATTGTTCTATAGTTATCACGTCTGAAATAAAAAAATAAGCAAAGCATTTTGGTATGTGATATTTGGGGAAGAAATATATTGAATATTTATACTCCTGGATCTTAAAGACTTATATAGTCAAGCCACTTGCTTTTATTTCCTTATGACTTCTTAGCGTAGAATATGAATCTAAAGAAGTAATTCGCGTAAACCGATTGTAATGATTCGAAAAGGTATCGTTTTTCCAATTTGTGCAACTTAGTCGAGTTAGCACAGATTCAGTTGGTCATGATTTAGTGTTGCCATTTTTAGAATACAATAAAATCGTTTCCTTTCATTGGTTTCACATCACTTGGATACAGTTCATAAGTATTTAAATTATCATTGAGTGAATATAGTTTACATACGAGTTTTGTAGTTCTACATTTTGAAAAGGAAGTATCTATATCAAGTTAGATGCAATGAGATTTATGCATTTTGTATGTAGGAAGATAAATCTCAAGCAATTATATGAAGAAATTTAGCTAAATATAGAGTTGTAATGCTGGAAGCTACAGGCACAATAGGATAAATAATTAGTAAATGAATTCTGTGATAAGTAGGATGTTTGGACATGTAAAGGAAATAACAGTAGGAGATTTAATGTTCTGGTAAAATTGAACTCGTTTGGAAAGTCAGGTGATGCACTCTTATTTATTTATTTGAACACATAAATATTGGTACAAGAGGGCACTAAATATATATGCGCCACACAAAACAACTGGAATTATAAGTGAAGAAAGGAAAAAAGAAAGGTAAAGAGCGTTAAAAAAAAACAATAGCGAACAGATTAGTGTAAGGTAGTGTAATAATAATAATAATGGGGGAAGCAGAAACGTACAATCAGAAGAGATCTTTCAGTTAAGAAAGAAGCAACCACTTTTTATGAAGAAAGTAAAAGAAGGTTACAGCAGGATCGCCACTGGCTTCTATTCTCAGCCATATCTGATAACGTCTCTAGCCACTGTGTAACACCATCTCTCAGACCCCAACCAGGGAGTCGTGAAGGACCAACAGAAGCCAGTCCTTTGCAGCTTTCTTTCATGCCACGACACCATGTCATGCACTGACCACCTCTCCGCTTCTTCCAACCAGTCCCAGAGTCGGCAAATAGTGCACGACGTGGAATTCTCTGGGACGACATTCGGAGAATATGTCCAAGCCACCGAAGTCGGTGTTTCAAGATGGTGACACCAATTGAATTATCATCTCTGTGCCCGAACACAAGATGCCGAACCTCTGTATTACTGACATGGTGTTGCCACTGAATGTCAGCAATCCTTCGGAGACAGTGATGATCAAACACAGAGTCATCTAACATTCTCAACTCGGAGAGGCCAGGTTTCACAAGCATAGAGCAAAACTACTCTCACCGACGCATTGTAGATCCGACCTCTTACAGCCAGACTAACATCACGAAGGCGCCAAAGGTGGCCCAGATTGGCATAAGCCGCTCTGGCTTTCACTATACGTGCATTGATCTCATCACTCACACCCCCACCAGCACTTATGCAGCGACCCAGATACACGAACTTCTCGACTACGTCTATCTGCTCACCATCCAGGGTGAGTACAGGATTAGAGTCCTACCAGTCTTGTAGAAGTACTTTGCACTTCGAAGGTGCGAAGCACATATTATACCTACGGACACTGATTGCCAACTGATTAAGTGCGGATTGCTTGGCTTGGGCATTATCGCACAGTAAGACAATATCATCCGCATACTCAAGGTCGAGAAGCCTTCCTCCAGGCGATAGATACACACCGCCATTACTTACATCCAAAAGAGCCGTTTCCAGAATGTCATTGATGGCAACGTTGAAGAGGAATGGTGAGATTGGGCAATCCTGCCTAACTCCACTGCTTGAATGGAACAATGGAGAGGTGATTGTATGCCCTCACTCTGAGACGTTTGTATATAGGGCCTTTAGAATGTTAATAAACTTCTCAGGCACACCCTTCAATAGACAAACCTTACTTCGATTAACAATCAAATATGATGCACTCGAACAAAACTATTCAGTCAGTCTGCTGGTCAAGTAAAATGTACCAAATTTCTTTTTTTCAGAATCGGTTAGTACTGATTCAGTCGATGAAATGAAGTCCCGAGGAAATCCAAGTATTAGTAAACTACAAGACGCTGCAGCTGAAAGGCCTAACCCTTGCTACCTCAGGGCTGTTGAGTATATTGTAGTCATGTAAATTAATGGTTTGTTTAATAGATACAAGGAACCGAAAGTGTTCAACCTAACTAGCTACCATTATTTTACCGGTCTTCCAAAACGAATTATAGGATGTAGACAAGGATTATATGCATATAAGATTGTTAAAGTTTGTCATCAAAGTATTATGTCCAATCATTCAGCGTAGCTTGTATAAAAATAGACAAAACTGATTTGATGAGCAGTTTGAGTTTTGTTCAAGCTGCAGTTGAATTGACTGTGTCTTTACTATTAGCTAGGTGTATAGCAAGTTAATATCCTGTAAATTTGAGAACTTTGCACGCGATATCTCGGTAGTTTCTATGCCAGGCACTCATTATTGACGATAAATCTTGGTGGAAGAGACAGCGTTAGTCACCTTTGAATACATGAATGGAATGAATATTCTTAATAATATGTTAGTACTCGTTAGCTTAACAATACTGATTGTTTGAAATCTTATGGATCCTATCTTCAGTCATTGTTGGGAATGACTTAATTGAAATCAGTAGCAACCTAACTGTAATAATCCACTGTTCATTAGTCATATGCTTGGAGATTTATATTTAAAGTTCTAGTCGTCAGCTCCTACTTTTCAAATTTGAGACTCAGTAATCATGCCAGCATATGACTTTGTTTTGATTGTTTAGGTTTTCGTGATAACCATTTGGCGTTTTGGACACAAATCACTTTCTGTAGTAGTTATTAGCACATCTGTTGCCTTATTTTGCTTCAGGAATTCAAGGAAGTTCATCAGGCTCTTTTATTATAATGACAATACAATTGATTTATCCATAACCGGTGTTGTGTCTTCGTTACTGTTCGCATTCAATCGACCAAGTTTATAATGCTTTCTTAACAACTACACGATAGCTGTATTCATGTTTAGAGAATTTGATGTTTGTAGAGTTGAGTAGCAAAAGTCGGCAGTGTGAATCAGAAAATCGTTGTAGCACTGTCGCAGACAGCTACGTTCTCTAGCGCTTAATGGTAGAGTTTACTTCACATTTAATTTTTTTCCGTGATAAAATTCCATCCTATTATTCACTGATATAATAAATCAGGGTCCTGTGGCAGAAAAATACTATAGATAATTAATTCAGAAGTCTGGTTTTTAACGTTTTCCAACTCTAATCTATCCATGAAATGACTTGATAAGCACCCAATACAATTGGTGGCTAAGTCTCTTTCAGTGTGTTTGAACTCTACCAACCATGATTTCTTTCTTAATCTTTAGGCATCATCTACAACCGAGTCATTAGTAAGGGCACATTTATTATTTGATTACGTAGTTGGTGGAGTTTAGTTCCGTTTGAAGATAGTTTCTGTCACGGGTTATTATCAGTTAGGTGACGACTGAAAACCAAGGTGCACTAAAAGTTTATGTCGTCCTATTCTGCGACATCTGAGTAGTGGTCATCTCCGATCCTGATAGAAATCGGAAACCTTTATTTTCCTACAACTCGAAACTGATGTAAACCAAATGACCAGACATAACTTTCGCGGTAGTTTGGTTTTGTGTTCCAATGACCAAATCTGTCATTCATACACTGTTATCATATATATCGTTATGAGAATTTATCATTTGTTGAAACCAGTTAGATGATACATTGCCCCCAAATGCCCTGGTGCGGCCGAGAGTGGGGAGAGTCCGCTCTCCCTCTCGAAATGCTCTCACATGGCCACGCGTATATAGCCTCTGTCAGGGGAGTCCTCACTGCCTTCTCGTGCCGGGGGTGTTGTTTACGAAAATGAGAGGACGAAAAGCGAATGTCCGGCGCTTTAACCGGATTCTAAACCAATGGTGCACATGGGCTCCAGTATCCTGCGGGAACAAATGGCGTATGAACCAATCGTTGGTCACCGGCTTCCATAGGAATGCCTCTCCTTAGGATGCTTCACTGCCTTGTGGATCAGACCTTCAGGTCGAAGGCTCGGGGAGTGGCCTCTTAAGAAAACCACCTGTTTCGGTTTGGGCACCCGGGCAGTATCACAGCCCTCACATATATCGAATGAGATTTGTGTGGTGCATATGTATTTGGTGCCTCCTTGTACCAATATCAATGTGTTAAAATAAATAAATAAAATAATGTATCATCTGTTGAAACCATTTACAAATGAATCGTGATACTTAGGTGGGTTTTTTGTATAACCTAGTTATACGTAAAATAAAGACTATACTTTGTTACCGAGAAATTGAGTCGTTCGCAAATGATATTACATAGCTGTTCCCCAAATTATAGATTGATTGTGTATTTGACATTGATGTAATACCACGTGAAATTTCGACACATCACATTTGATGTAAATTACTTCAATGTATGCAAATTTAATAAACTGACATCTCAAATAATTTGTTTACTCAAAACTCTAAGAAATTAATCCAGAAAGCGTTGTAGTACTGAACTATATGTTATAAATGTTAGCATCATAAGGGTTCTAACGTTTAATGAATGTGTGTGGTATTGTACATATGATATTAACTGAAAAACGAAGGTATTCGAAGCATTATTTGAAGTGATATCAAGAATAATTATTACTTAAAAGCCATATAGTTACGAAAAACAATAAAGGCAAGCCTAATATTCCTAAAGAAGATGAAAGTGTAAGTTGTAGGTGAAGATAGGAGAAATCTCATTCGACATCATCTCGCAGATAAACCAATCTTCAACTTTTATACAAACGTCGAAACGAAACGTTATACGGAATGTGTATGGTGGCTGTTTAAGCATGTCCATTTATTTGTTTGTAGATCAAAGTTCTAACTGCCTTTGTAAAATTATGAAATGATGCAGGTATATATGTGACGAAAGAAGGCTGAAGACCAGCTATTTATATACGGTCGCATGAAAACAGGATTTGAATGAGTCCGTTATTGAACTCTGACTTCGTTGTTGATTCCATTCAACTTTCAGAGAAAACAAATGCCTACTAATGATTATTTAAATAGTTTGTAAGTTATATTCAGAAATATAGACATCAGGTTCTTATTGCAAACATTAGAAACACTACTAACATTTTCGTCAGGAATTAAACCAAAATCTCAACAACATTTTGAGTAGAAACAACAACACTTAGTGATCATTCTGCAAACTGTAGTTCTGTTGTACAAAACTTATTTCTTAAGTGACAAGGAACTATGTTGATAGCTTAGTTAAATCCTTATAACATCTATTAATAAGGTAAGCGGTCTTGTTCTTTGAAGTTCATTCACTGTAAGTTGGGAGTTCGATTTCTTGAGAAAACTGCCGTCCGACCAATTATTTGTTTCCCTACTCGTCAAATTAGTTGATCTGTCATAACAGTTTCTACCTGATTTATATATAATTCCGATTTATTACTTAATTGTAACATTATCAGAGGTTGGACATAAGATCTTTATATCTTGTGATGAACAATACATAATCTGAAGCTCCGGGTTTCGACAGATAAGTTAAAAGGCTGGTGAGTCGCAACTGACTGGAGTAAGTTTGAGGAAAGGTAAGAGAAGCCAAACAATGATTTCGACTTGCTTGTCAGTTTCACTTCGTCATCACCGTGTGATATGGGAACCTGGGCTAACGAACATTTGTGGCAGGCTGAATATTTGATTATGACTGATTGGTGTATGATTATACAGCTTGACAACAGATTCTCTGAAGAGAGATCCCTTCTGTAAATTCGTGTTTCCATATTTCCCCGTGGTTAAGATCATGTCAGTTCTTTTCAACTGACAATTTTCTGACAGTATAATACACCTGTATAGCATAAGGAGGGTGTCTTAAATTGTTCATACATATTTTTCCTGTGTATTACTTTCGTAAGAAATACATCAGCGTTACATTACTGATTTGTTTCTTGATTAAAAACCAACTGACGTAAAAGTATATGGCTTAGAAGTGACTCCAATATTAGTCATATGTTATCATACTACAGTTACCTAATAATTGTGGTTGGTTTCTTAAGCTCTCTGAATTAAGAATTTCAAGCTCAAATGATTGTCTAGTGACTGTCAGTTCTTAATAGATAAGTAAGAGTTTTTCCGCATCATTACTTTGAAGATGACAACAGCATTGCAACTAGACTTTAAAGTATGTCGGTACCTGAAACCCTTTCCTGATGACTGTCAAATTGCAGTAACAGTCAAATACATTCTACACGTAAAGACTACCGGTACCCACGAAATTTAGGAAACCACTCATATCCTGATGTTTGTTATTCGACTACAGACACTCGAGTTACGCGGAACTAGAGTTCATCACTTGAGTAGTAGGGACTTTCTCAATCCCGAAGAGATTTAACTGAATCAAAATTCTACTGTCTTAAGTAGTCTAAAAAGTGAACTCAGTGTGCGACTTTTTGTTTGTAAGAAATATATGTATATAAAAATCAAGCCAACCAATATCGTAAGCGATGATTCTATTGAAATTTCTTAGAAAGGGTCTTACAAATAATTAATATGCCATGCGTGAAAAAAATGTTTACCGAGTAAACTGACTAAAACAGAGGTGAAGTCCATGCGGGAATCCAAAATCTACGGACATTCATTCGATTGGGAAAATGTAGAAATCTTAGACAGAGGAAACTCCAAAAACACCAGAGAATTTTTAGAAGCTTGGCACTCAGGTCAATCAACAAACATATTGAAATCAATCCAATTTATCAACCAATCAGGAAAATCATGCATAAATATAGGAACAAAAATCAAACCAATGGGAGACAACCAAAACAAAGAAGTAAACAATGATAAATTTAAGGTTAACAAGAACCAGTCAACATCGAGGTGCACAGAACAAGCTGTGAAACATATGGAGAAATTCGAACACTTTACTTCTATCTGAAGTTTGTTCTGATGATGTCGTTCAGAAGAACAATGAAAGCTCCACGACCAAACCATCCAGCTCAGAGAACAAAATCCAACAATGTTTTCTGACTTTACAAGATTCATAATCTAGTTTTAAAAATGTACAATACCGGCTTCGATAATAATAATAGAAATAATAATAAAAATAGTACCAATATTAATAATAGCTTTACTAAGTGCTATAAGTTTTGTTGCAATATAGAATTCAATTAGTCAGCTACAACGTAGGACTAGGCACATATATGCATCGGTCCAAGTTGCCATACCTCATTAACACAAGATGAACACCGGATTCATAAAAGTAGTTAATTCAGAGGTGGTAATATATAAAAGAAAAATTGGATATAAGGATATAGTACAGGAAGAATGAATTAGTTCGTAGAAAGAAAGATATGAAGTGATTTTAATCTCTTAGTTTAAGGGAAGACAGAGAGTGTATACACCGAAGGCATTGTGATCGATTCTGAGCCATATCACTCAGAGTCTCCTCCATTGGTTACGATAGTCACGCAGACCCCAAACAAGTAGTCTGCATCTACCAACATAACTCAGATCAGAAGTTAGTGACTTCAAGCACTGATGCCACGTTTTGGTTTGGCATCCCCTAACTTTCTTCCAATCATCTCCAACACCGGTTGGCATTGCACGTCGTGGTAATCGGTGTTCGGGCATACGTAACACGTGGCCCAACCATCTCAGTCGATGAAGATTCACAACCTCATCAACTGATTTACCACCATTCCTTAATACCCTGTCTGTCTAACCTCACTATTACTTACACGGTGATCCCAGCAGATGCGAGCAATATTTCCAAGGCATCTGTGGTCAAGTACTAGTAGCTTACGAATATCTTCTACTCTTAATGGCCATGTTTCGTTGCCGTAAATTAAAACAGAACGGACTGCCGCGCCGTATACTCGTCCTTTTATTGATAGATCGATATCTCGCCTTCGCCATATGTGACGTAATTTGGTAAAAGCCAAACGAGCTTTTCGAATCCGTGCTGAGATTTCTTCAGACACCAACCCATTAGGGCTGATCAGACTTCCAAGATAAGAAAAATTATCAACGCGTTCGACTACTTCACTCCCTATTCATAGTTCAGGTGTTGACGCAGATCAGTCCTGAAGCAACAACTTGCATTTAGAGGGAGAGAAGCGCATTCCAAACTCCTGGCATTGTTGCTTAGTGCTACCAGAAGACTCTGCATTTTATCAGCTTCACCAAACAGGATTATGTCATCTGAGTATTCTAAGTCGATAAGTGGACCTCCTGAAAGGAGATCAATACCCGAGAATTCAGTCGACGAGAATGTTATTTTCATCAGTTGGTCTCTGATGAAGTTAAACAAAAATGGAGTTAGTGGACAGCCTTGACGGACACCACTTGAGGTTGCAAAAGCAGATGATAGTTCGCCATAAGCTCTGACTCGATTATTAGTGTTCGAGTAAAGAGCCTTCAAAAGGTTTATGCACCTCTGAGGTACGACTTCCAATGACAGAAACTGCCACAAAATCTCGCGGTCTATAGAGTCAAATGCTGCTTTTAAGTCAAGAAAGACCACCATTGTTGGTCGCCGATATTCATTTATTATTTATCTCTAAAATACTTTCAAATCACAATCATTCAAAACATACTCTTAAAACTGCTTCTAACAGTCAATATCTATCACTCGTATCCAATCATTAAAGTTTTCCACCAGTTCACCCGATACAACTATCTTCACATCCATCATATATTAGGTGTCTGAAATCAAAAATATTTGACTCCCGTTTCATCAAATGATAGATCAAAACGGAAGATGTGGAGAGAAATAAAGTCTTTTTGTTCTAGTTGTCCAGTATTTGATATCTCAATAATTTGTAACTGTTTTATAATAGTGTATGAATACAGTACGTTTGGTATTCATAGTTATTCAGTTTAAGCAACTCCAAACCAGTTTGTTTATTTGCAGTATTTGAATTGCTAGAAAATAGGTGAACGTTTAATTCAGCTTTTAGCTAGACAAACCATAATAAACCAGGAACGACTGGACACCTATTTCGTCCTATTTGTAGTTGTATCTCTATATATTTTGAGTTCATTGAGATTTCTATAGATAACCATAGTTTACTTTACAGAAAGTATAGGTTCATTTAAGTAATTAATCATTTTCATTAAGATTGTGACATTTACAGAAAATTTCAATCGTTGAAATCATGAGTCAATTGAAGCTAGACCACTATGGAGAACCTGGAAGCACTGGACGGCCGTTCCGTCCTAGTATGGGACTCCTTAGCAGTGCACATCCACGATCCTGCCCCTCGCGAGATTCGAACCCACGACCTACCAGTCTCGCGCACGAGCGCTTAACCATTAGACCATTGAACCGGCCGGCATCCAACGGTGTTAATGTCTAACCTCAACCAATCCACGAAGTTGCGTCACCGTACACCGTTGTCTTCAGGGAGTTGATATCTCACAACAGACCTGGTTGAACTCCAGTGTTAACGGCTTCTCACTAGAACTCCAGGAGTATCTCTTGAAGTCAGTCACTAGTGAGCAGATGATTATTATCAGAAGGGGTTTTGTGGAGATTTTTAGAAATTTCAATAGTTGAAATCATGAGTCAATTGAAGCTAGACCACAGAAAAGTAAAATCTTTCCTCCGAACGTGGTTTATGGAATGCGATTAATATAAGAATGAGATTGTTAAATCCACGTTTATGTAAAGTATTGAAGTATGTATTGGTTAAAAATGTTCTAATTATTTCTTTTAATGACAAACTAATATACAGTTGAAATTTGGTACGACGGACAATATATTCGGATTCTTTCAAGTGGAATAGTACACATCAATTAAGCAGGATTTATCAAAGTAACATTAAAATATAATTGATTGACAACATTGATATATGATTGTCTCGTACTGATAATGTGAACGGTAACCGATTAATTCATTACAAAAGATAAACAACGAGAAATCACATTATCTAGTAACAAAATAAAATACCTGTGCTACAATAGCTGAGTGGCCCAGTAAAATAACTCACTGAAGTTTAAAGCAAACTATCCTGGTCACCAGTCATACTGAATTAGAAGTTCAATGGTCATATGTTATTACATTAATCTGAATAGAGTTTCATAACATCATGTAATGCTTAATCCTACTTCTCTCAATAGAAAGGAAGGTCTTACTATACATCCTACTTGGATCATCTATCCTAGCCATTCAGTCTGATCGTATTTACAATTTCACACTATCATATTACAAATTTAAACTCTATCCTTTCTTACCATAAAGGTCACACAAGTTTTCATTCTTAAACAATGCACATATACATACACACACAAATTTACATACATATCACTTATGAATCACCTTGACAGAAATGACATGACATCAACTTGTTCAGACCTGTTTTTGATTGATCCAATATTATTATTGCATTGTTCCGTTGTACTATTTAAACTTGGATTAATTTTAATTTGGTTATTTATTCTCTGAAGAAGTGACTTACACTAAGTCACGAAACGTCAGAAAATCCAATTTTCTACTCATTGGGATATTACAAATATATTATTTTTATTTATCATGTATATTAGTTGATTATTATTAAAGAATCCTATAGTAGAACAAAATCTCTTTAATATCATTTGTTGATGGCAACTACTCATAAATAGTATGGAGTCTTCAGCAAGTCATCTGTCTTCATAATAATAATCATGATAAGCATTTTAAGAAGAATTAGTTACAATTAATAAATAAACAAACTTCTAAAATATTATTCTGACTACTATAAAGTACCACAGTGTATTTCTAAACTAAAACACCATCTGTGCATTTTGTATATTTTACGTAGTAAAGATAGTGTAGTGAACAAGAATATGAGGGGGGCTAGCCAAATATATCTAAACACAAAATTACAGAACATCTCACTAAAATCTGAGAACCATATAGTAAATAGTTAATTTGCATAAAATAAATCAGTTGTCTCAAACTTGACTGTTCCTTTCAAAAATACCAGTCCACCGTTTCGGATTTCATTGTTCATGTATTTTCAACCCACTTTCTCTCCGTTTCTGTTCTTTCCCTCTACTGAAATACAGTCCGCGTCTGACCATCGTTATATACTACTTATATGGATATAAGTAACTGTAATATTTGTAAGTATTCGAATTATAGTATGAACTAAGAATCCCAGAAATAACGTAATCGGATCAAGAAGTACTAGATAACAACAAACGAATGTACCGTATTTAGAATTCGAAATAAAGCATTCAACAAGTACAAAGGAATCATTAGTTCATTCAAACACTATAGTGACTCACACTTTAATGATACAGTCCATATATATTGCTTATGTGTTTAAACTATTCACTAAAGTAGTAGATCAGAGATACTGCAGACTAACTTTTATCTTCATTCAATTAACAAAATGATTCTCAAATGAACTTGACACTAAATGTAACCTGTAAATCTTGATAAGCAAATAAAGTTCGAAAGTAAACTATTTGAAACGAATCAGACTAAAATTGAAACATTTCCCAATTTATTCAGTAATAAGATATTCAATGATGCATAAAAAATAATACATATTGTCTTAGAATATTTAACGTTATATTAAGAGTGAATTCTGAATGTTTTATTAATAAAATGTTTGTTATTTTATATATTAGTAACACTCACTTATAGTTTAAAGTGTATATTTCTAATTTCAACATAACCAATGTTAAGCAAAGTTGAGTAGTGGCTAGCAGTGGAAGCCAGAATGAGCGTTTCGTCCTATTTGGGATTTATCAGCTGGGTGTACCTGCACCTCAGAGTTGATGTTCACTCGGGGACTCGAACCCAGTACCGTTCGTTTCAAACGCCATTGCGTTATCCACTCCTAGCCACTATCGATTTTTGCTTAGAATACTTGTGAATTAAGGCAATACGCACAGTGTACACATATGCCAATAAGAGACTGATCAATTGCAGTCGTAAGCATCAATGGGAAGCACACATATTTCATCACAGTAATAAGTGCAAAGAATAGGTGATTTCTGACATCGTTAGATTACAATCTATGGCTTGTTACAACTGTATCAACTTATTAACATATTTTTAGTATGTTTGTAATTAATTGTGAGTAAAAAAACACTTCCTTAAAGTTTATGGGTGTTAACAATTATTGTTCAGATCATAGTCGACTGTGTAAATGTTTATAGGCTAAAGTAATAATTAGACTTTCTATTCCTCACACATTTTACTCATTCAATACAAACACAATTCTTTTTTTAATACGTTTAAACATAAAATTTGTCATTTATATACTAGTGAAATACGTGAGTAATTGGAAGCTATTTACATCACACTTCAGTTACTTACTTACTTACGCCTGTTACTCCTCGTGAAGGAGCATAGGCCGCTCACCAGCATTCTCCATCCAACCCTGTCCTGGGCAATCCTTTCTAGCTTCGTCCAGTTGTAATTCATCGTTTTCATATCTGCTTCTATTATCCAACGCAATATGTTCTTTGGCCTTCCTCTTTTTCGCTTCCCTTCAGGATTCCAAGTTAGGGCTTGCCTCGTGATGCAGTTTGACGATTTGCGTAATGTATGTCCTATCCATTTCCATCGTCTTTTCCGGATTTCCTCTTCAACTGGAAGCTGGTTTGTTCTCTCCCACAGAAGGCTATTGCTGATGGTATCCGGCCAATGGATGTTGAGTATCTTGCGTAGACAGATATTTATAAATACTTGTACTTTCTTGATTGTGGTTGTTGTAGTTCTCCAAGTTTCAGCTCCATACATTAGAACTGCCTTGACATTCGTATTGAAGATTCTCACTTTGATATTGGTTGAAAGTTGTTTTGAGTCCCATATGTTCTTCAATTGTAGGAATGCGACCCTTGCTTTGCCAATCCTCGCCTTTACGTCTGCATCTGAACCTCCTTGTTCATCGATGATGCTTCCTAGGTATGTGAAGGACTCTACATCTTCCAGAGTGTCGCCATCAAGAGTGATTGGATTGCTGTTCTCCGCTTTGAATTTGAGGACCTTAGTTTTCCCTTTGTGTATGCTGAGGCCTACTGATGCAGAGACTGCTGCTACACTGGCTGTCTTCATCTGCATCTGTTCATGTGTACGTGATAGGAGGGCTAGGTCATCTGCGAAGTCCAAATCGTCTAATTGATTCTGAGCTGTCCATTGTATGCCATGTTTTCCTTCAGATGTCGAGGTCTTCATAATCCAGTCGACCACCAGAAGAAAGAGGAAGGGAGATAGTAGACAGCCTTGTCTGACTCCGGTCCTCACTTGGAATGCATCTGTCAGCTGTTCTCCATGCACGACCTTGCACTGTAGTCCGTCGTATGAGTTCCGGATAATATTGACAATCTTCTCAGGAACTCCGTAGTGTCGAAGAAGTTTCCATAATGTCCTCCTATCTACACTGTCGAATGTCTTTTCATAATCAATGAAGTTCACGTATAGTGATGAGTTCCACTCAACTGATTGTTCGACGATGATCCGTAGTGTTGCAATTTGGTCTGTGCACGACTGATCCCTACAAAATCCAGCTTGTTGATCTTGAAGTTGGGCGTCTACTGCATCCTTCATCCGGTTCAGCAACAATCTGTTGAAGACTTTCCCTGGTATTGACAGTAGTGTAATGCCTCTGTAGTTTTCACATTTGCTCACATCTCCTTTCTTTAGAATCTTGACGAGGTATCCTTCTTTCCAGTCCATCAGCACTTGTTCCTCCTCCCAAATCTTTTTGAATAGAAGGTAAGGCATGCTTGTGGTTGCTTCGATGTCTGATTTCAGTGCTTCAGCTGCTATGTTGTCGGGTCCTGCTGCTTTCCCGTTCTTGATTTGTCTGACGGCCATTCTAATTTCTTCTGTCGTTGGTGGGTTGACATCTATAGGAAGATCTATATGTGCTGCTTCGATGTCCGGTGGATTCATTGGAGCCGGCCTATTCAGGAGTTCCTCGAAGTATTCTACCCATCTGTTACGCTGTTGTTGAATTTCGGTGATTGGCTTGCCTTCTTTGTCTTTGACCGGCCTCTCTGGTTTACTGTATTGCCCTGCTAGTTTCTTCGTTGTATCGTGAAGCTGTTTCATATTTCCTTCCCTTGCAGCTTTTTCCACCGTTGTTGCTAGTTCTTCCACGTATTTCTTCTTATCGGCTCTAATGCTCCTCTTCACTTGTTTGTTTGCTTCTATGTATTCAGCTTGTGCTTGGACTTTCTCTGCTCGTGTTCGGCTGTTGTTTATTGCTGTCTTCTTGTTATTCCTTTCTTTGATCTTGTCCAGTGTTTCTGTAGAGATCCATTCCTTATGATGGTGTTTCTTTAGACCCAGAACCTCTTGACACGTTGAAGTTAATGCTTCCTTGATGCCTTTCCAGTTGTCTTACATAGTAGTTTCTTCTTCCTTCAGTAGATCTTGTAAGGCTTGGAACCTGTTGTTGAGATCTATCTTGAATTCATTGAGTTTGTCAGTATCTCAAAGGAAGGTAGTATTGAACCTTTGTATTGCTGTTTGTCCAGTTGTCCAGTTCATTTTTAGCTTCAGTTTTAAATTGGCTACAACTAGGTGGTGATCTGAAGCTATGTCAGCTCCTCTCCTAGTTTTCACATCTTCCATTGTCCTTCGGAATTTTTTGTTGATGCAAATATGATCTATTTGATTCTCTGTAGTGTGGTCCGGTGAGATCCATGTAGCCTTGTGTATACGCTTGTGTGGAAATATTGTGCCACATATGACCAATTTGTTGAATGCACATAGATTTGCAAATCTTTCTCCATTTTCGTTTCTTTCTCCCAGTCCATGTCGTCCCATAATATCTTCATATCCAGTGTTGTCTATTCCGACTTTGGCATTTAGACCTCCCATCAGAATAGTTAGGTCCTTCCTTGGGCATTTCTCAATGATTGACTGTAGCCGCTCGCAGAACTGATCTTTAATGTCGTCGTTGCTATCATTGGTGGGTGCATAACATTGGATAATATTCATTAAGATCCCCTCCTTTGTTTTGAATGATGCTTTGATGATTCTGGATCCGTGAGATTCCCATCCTACAAGTGCATTTCGTGCTACTTTGGACAG